AAGGGGCCTGCGGAAGCTGTTGGGCTTTTGCTACAACCGGATTGGTCGAAGGATTCTTATTTAGACGGAGCAACGAAGGTAGGTTGAATCAGATTTAATTACCTAGCTGCGCTTATAAACTTAATGCCGCTCTCATTTCTTCCCCTCAATGAGATAAAAGATAACCACTTTGCTCAATGAAATGGCTTCTAAAACCATTTAAACTGATCTATCAGATAATTTTTCAATCAATTCAATCATTGAATTCAAGTCCAACAGAAACTGATTTAAAACCAATTATTGGTGTAGTGTTTTAAAACAAAACTAGTTTTTCACCCCTTTTGCATTTTCAAGTTTATGATATACTTTTTTTGTTCAAAAATATTCAGTTTTCAAATTTTTTGTGCTCAAAAAAATCTCCTACAGTGTATAAAAGGTTCAACAGTCAATTGAGTAGAGTTGTTCACCTCAAATCAATAGTTTCAAGCTAGTTTTCTTAAAATCGTTTCCATTTAATTTAGGTATTTATTTAGAAAGCCCATTTTTAAATAATAATTAATCAAAATATTTAAAATTACAAATCAAATATAAACATTTAGAACAAAACTTGAATAAAATCTATATAAAAATAATAACTATACAAGGGATGACTGAAAATCAAACTGACTCAATTTAAATGGATCCCAAAGCAATTCGAATCGTTGCGAAATGCCCCAAAAACAAAGCTATGTAAAACAAAAATGTATGAGCTTAAGTCGATTCGGAATCACTTGAATTAACTTTATGAACTTCGAACAAGACTAATCATCTTAATTTGATCACTTGTTAAAACTATAACCGATCTATATCCATTTTTCTCAATGCGACTCGCGCTGTCTTGTGAATTGTTTATTTCTTATACAATGTTTGTTTCACCCACAAAAAAATGCGGACACAATTTGTGTTTGGCTTGAAAATTTTTGTTCCCCCGCAAAAGAAATGAGCCAAATTTAGGGTTGAATATTTGATCTGGTTGAAACCAGGCAGTCAAAATTAGATTGAATTTTCAAAACTACCCAAATGTTTTATCAGTGTCCAAAAAAAACCTTTGTGAGTTTTTGCTTTTTTAGAAAATTTCAAAAGTTTTTTTCATTTCTAATTTGCTAGTTTTTTTTACTTTTTAACAAATTACATTCTTCAGCAAGTCTTAATCACTTGATCGCAGTTCATCTGACAATTTCTGTTTATAGCAAATAACCTTTAAAAAACGATTTTTATTGGAAAAAGTTATTTACAGTATTTTCTGTTGCAAACCTTCATTTGAAGCGTGTATTACAGTAATGTTTATTAAAATTCATTAGAAAAACATCTCACTATCTTCGCCTGAAATTTCGTATCATTATTCTTCCAACAAGACAGTTACAGCAAGTCTTAATAAAAAGATATTGTAGGGTATCGAAGTTTTGCGGAGGGGTATGGGAATTCAAATGCCAATGTTTGAGTCATTGAAGCGCAGAGAAAAGAATCCATGGTTCATAATGGTTACTGAATTTGTGAGACCTAAGCCAATTAATGCCAAAAAAGGTTAACGAATTTTTTTGTGCCTCTTGCACTGCAACTTGCAAGTATTTTTGGCTTAGTTTACATAGTTAATACTTTCGTAATGTTGATAATCCGTAATGGCGCCAGCAATTGAATTCCAGAATAATGAAAAAACCTTGACTGCGAAAATAGTGATGCACAGCAAAAAATTTTGAAACCAAATAATTTTTTGCAAATTGATGGCCAAGTAATTTGAAATTTAATTATGTCGTCGTTTCGTTTGTAATGTTGTAGCTTAATGCATTGTTTGTTTTTGGTGTTATTATAAAAAAAAAGTGTATGGTCACCCTCATCTGATAAAACTACTTGTACATAACGAATTGAAAAGAAAAGGATAGAAAATGGTTATTGTTCCGAATATTGAATAAAACAACAAAATTTTTATACAGAAATTTTTTTGATTTTTCAACTAATTGTTGATGTTTTTTTTTCTTCAAAAGTTTGGTACGAATAAAGCGCAATATGGCAAAAACATCATAAGGACCTTATTTTGACAAAAATTTCTTCGCCGTAGTCAAACGTTTTAAAAGAAATGTAAGGAGATATATTCATTCAATTTGAAACAAGTTTATTATGGAAAAAACCCGTGATTTTGCTGATTATATCATGGAATTCCAGATTTTGTAGAGATATATAAATCGCTATAAATTTCTGTGATCCCATTTTATTTTTTAAAGTTCTAGTTTATTTTTTTTGTTCTAGAAACGCTTTTGTCTCTAAGCGAACAACAACTTGTATCATGTGACACGGAGTTAAGCAACAATGGATGCAACGGTGGCTGGCCGTTTCTAGCAACTGTTTTTCTTTATCATAATCAAGCTGTTCTGGAGTCAAACTACCCGTATGTTTCGGGTAACGGAACTGTTCCTGAATGCCACCATATTTCTGAAAGAGTTCCAGTGGACATTAGTGGCGCCGGTTTTGTGTGGATGGATGAGGAGAATTTGAAGAACGCTCTTCTAACATATGGGCCAATTAGCATAGGTATCGATGCAACTGCAGAGTTTGTGGACTACTCAGCAAGCGATGGTGTTTTCTTTGACACTACTTGTAAGGAAGTTGGCGCCAACCACGCGGTACTTCTTGTCGGCTACGGAACACTGGAAGGCCAGGACTACTGGCTGGTTAAAAACAGCTGGGGGGAAGATTGGGGATTGGACGGCTACATTTTGATGGCCCGAAACAATAACAACATGTGCGGAGTTGCAACGGCTGCTCTCTATATATACTGATTCGATCATGAAAAATAGCCGAATAAACTCTAATGATTTCTATCGTGAACAAAACTGAACAAATCAAACTTGAATATTTAAACAATAATGCATATTTTAATTTCATTCATAGAATGTATGCACTTATGTAAAAAAGCGCATAATTTTCTTGAAATATGATTTATATACATAATTTTTTAATAATTTAACAAAATCAACATCTTTTGTGACTCCGATCGGAAGGTGTCTTTGAAGCAACTTAATTTATCGAAAAGAAATGATATTGTCAGCCTACAGTGACAAAAATATTTTTGATTAGGTTTAAACTTGAAACCGGTTTTTGGTCAACAGATCAACAAATCATTAAAATCTGTGCATTTTAGTATTGAAATGGGTTTTAAATTGACTTGAATAATCAGTTTGGATAGCTTTTGGCAGCTACACAATTCAGTCCGAATCTCACCAAAATTTATCTAAATCCGCCCGAATACTGAAATAATTCCAACTATCTTTTAAAATGCGCCTCATAGACCTTTTTTAGTACTAGATAAATTTTATGTCATTTGGTACTTGACATAGTGCGACGCCCCCTCACCTCTCAGGAGTTTGACCTCACTGACCAAGCAAGAGGGGTCCTCCCTTTGATACTATTTCAAAACATCACTTCTTAAATCATTGAAACTTACCCTAAAAATTTTTAGCACGCTGAGTTATGACCGATGTGGTTAACTCATAGAGTAATTTCGGATAGGGTACACCGTCTGCTCGTCACGCTATCTTATTTTCGGCCGGATAGATTCGTGCAAGTTCTTAGTCTAATACCGATCCTAATCTTACTCTTATACTTACTAGTCTCAGGGTGTTTAACTAGTCTCTGCTAGGCTCAATAGATCTAGGGTATACTGGTTTATTGCGGCTACTGAAGTTCTCTTGGAGAGGCAACTAATTTCTAAGTTAAATTCAAATCTCTCTGGTGCTGAAATTACAAGTAATTTCAGCACTTACAAATAAGTGGGTTGTTAGTTAGATGGATTATGATTGGTTAATATTAAATATTTTACAGTGGTAAAACATTTAATTTATCCAATTATAAAATGTAGTTTAGATCAGGTTCCACCCATCCGGGTTTTACAGAGTTTTTTAGAATTATCTTTCTGCAATTCAAAGGATGGATGATGAACGTTGGTATTTGGCGAACATCTTATTCTTGTCCGGTTCCTCTTGTTAAGTAAGTTCCAGGACGCTGGAGTTAGGGACATACAATCGTTGCGTCGTCTTGTGACAACGACTGTGATCCCCAATGAAATCAATCTGATTTCAAAATGATTTGCTATGACGGGTTTTTCTGTATTCTGTAGAGAACTTGTTTTCTGTTCAACCTCGTCTGGGAATGGCGTGGAGATCGTGTGTGGAAGGGATGCCTCGTGACTCGGATCTGTTCGTATACTTGAACATCGAGGTGGTCATTGGTCTAGTTCAATGAAGTCCTTTTCTGCGAAGTCAAGTCGTACTCTAAATCCTTTGAGTTGTGATTGTGGACGGCATATCGGTTGAGATTAGCCATTCTTTGTTCGAGTGTGATGAGATCGTCTAGTCTTTGGATGTTCGTCTTTGTTGTTGTGTGTTGATCTATATACTACAAAGTATGATTTACATTTTATAAAATCATATTAGTTTGGTTTATTAATCATGAATTTAGTTAGTTGTTTTCACAAAAGCCTTTTGTTTTAGTTCGGATATTTTGAAGAGTTACTCACCCTTGAGTACCTCTTATTAAAAATAGAAGTGTGGTCACAAAGCGTGGATGTAGCGCGGTGGGTTAGGCCGGCTATAGAGCATGCTCAGGACGTCCTCTCTGGTGGGTTAGGCCAGGAGTGGGAGTATGATTTCGGGCTGTTTCTTTGAGAGGTCCTGTTATGTGATAACGTTTTATGTTGGGTTTATGTTAGTCTTTCTTATGTTACTTTCGTTGTGTCCTTTTTTCGAAAATCAAATTGTTTTTGGTATGGGTTTGTCTTGCGACTTTTTTGTGTTTTATTATTTCTTTCTTAGACTTTATAATAGTCTTCAAAAGAATAAATTATCCAGTTTTAAACTGGGTTAATCCGGTTTGGGTACCGTTGGTTTTCTTTTCTTAGTCAAGCTGTTATTTTATGATTTGTGGTGTTTAGTAAGCTGCGTTGGTTAGTTTGGTTTAGTATATAATTCCTTTCCAACCGGGTTAAAGGAAAGTTTGAAACTTGTTATCGTGTGTTAGAGTTGTTGAGTGTGAAAACTTGAAATTTAAAATCATTATTTAAACAATTCTTCGTGGGCGAGCTGTGCGAGTTTTGATAGAATTCCTGTGCGATTGAATGAAAATATCAAAAGGTTAGTACTGCATTTTCATTTTATTAATTTATTACATAGAATTTTAATTTTACTGCATTTGGGGGAAATTTTAAGTTATAAATTTTCATCGTATTGAATTTTACTTCTTCATGGGGAAATAATTTATAGATTAATTTACTACATTTGGTATGAATTTTATTACATTAATTAGTGCAAGATATTAATAAATTTTAGAAGAATTTTAACAAGTTTGTATTTTTATTTTTCTTTTCTGTTTTGTAGATGATCATGGTGTGAAGACTAGAAATATAAATCAAACATTGATAGAAAATGGTTAGTACTAATTTTAAATTTATTAGTGAAGAGTATTTTAAATTATACTTACCTTTTAATCGTCTGGGAAAAAGCCGTGGAGGAAGATGTCTTGTATCATATCTGATGTTGTTAGTAATTTGGCTAGTATGCGAATGATGTTTTTAGTTTGGAGCAGTGGCCAAAGCAATTGAAGTTCTTTAATGATTTTTAGTTCTTCGGTGCCTACTGCAAACTCGTTTGGTGTGTTTTGAATGAGGTTATTTATTTTGTGGTTATATTTAGTATTGTGAATGAATTCTAGTATTGGTATTTCTATAGGCTGGATAAGGAAGGGTCTGGATTCTTCTGCGTTAAAGGTCTTCGTGATGGGACAAAATATATACATTTGTGTTACTGGTTCATAATTGCGAAGGATGCCGTGGAGGTTAGTATCTTTGATGCAATAAGTGAAAGTAAGGAAAATGGTGATGTGTATTTTGAGTTAAGAAACTGAAAACGATGGTGTGGTTGTCTTGATGGGGTATGCAAATCAAAATGATTTTGTATGAAACGATAGTATGTATATGTGTGAGTTTGTTTAGTGCGTAACATAATATCATGGGAGCAGTGCAAAACGCGTTCATGTGGTGCAAGGAAGTGAAAGGTTAGTGAAAATAACTGAAATTTTTCTGTGAAACTTTCGTACGCTTGAATATCATTTAGTGCTTCAGAAATGATGTGATCATATTTTCTATCAAAAATATTAAGTGTGAATATATATGATGTTTTGATGAAGAATTTTTCTGTTAGTTGCGGGTTAGCGAAGCGATCTTCCTCTAAAAATTGGTCTTGATTAGTTCGGATGATATTATGATTGTAATATTCTATTCTAAATTCGTTAGCTCGGTGTGCAGTGAATGTTTTTTGTAATTTTTTATATGGTACATAAGTAAATTGTCTAGGTGTTAGTGTTGCGGTGAGTCTATATAACATATTTTTGTTTTTCTATGTCGTCATGAGTATTAGATAGTGGTAGGCAAAGGGGGTTAGTAAATTGATAATAAGCTGTCCAATGAAGTGTGGGCATTAAAATATGTTCATCGACGAAACTTCGTGTGTCATTAGTGTCGTTAGGTGTATTTAATGTATATTGTGGAAATGAGGGTAAGGTGATTGCTAGAAAATCTTTCGTGTTGGTGTGTTGTGGGTGATTAATATTTCGCAGGCTGTTCCTGGTTTGGTCGGGAATGGATGATTCGGGAATTTTCTTTGCGATAAGCTCGGTTAGTGCTACTAGGTGTTTCGGTGGATGTGAATGATTGTGCTAATGATGCAGTGTAAGCTGAGGAGGGTGTAGGAGTAGATGGGTTTGAGGATTCTATTGTGGATGAAAGTTGATGTATTGTGAGGGTGTTAGGGTGTATTAACTGTTGTTGTAGGGTAATAAAATTATCGAGTTCCTGGGAAATTTGGGGGATATCTGGAGAATTATTATATGATCGGTCTGAATGAAGTGGGGAATAGGTTGGGGTCACATGCGAAGCATAAGAAGGAGTGGAAACGGATGGGAGTGAAATATTTGTCGGGATTGGTTGAAAAGTGGGTTTTGAAAAAACTGAGGAGTTGGTCTGAAAATTACTTGATGGAGATGGTTCGGAATCTGCAAATTCGTCAGGGGTTTCTATATTAGGGTTATTAATTTGTGAGATAGAGTATAAAACTGAAAAATCTGAGTTAGTATCCGAATTCGTGCTTGATGATATATTAATAATTGGAAAATCGGGTGGTGGGAAAGCAAAAAGTGGGTGGGATTATTGGGATTGGAGTTTGGAGGTTCGCTGGGTGGGAATTTGAGCGGTGTAGGGATCCAAGTTGTCGGCTCATCGTGGGCTAAAAAAAAATGATTATTTTGAGACTGAAAAGTGGTGGTATGGGGTTGTTCTATAATTTGTTCGTATGTATTATCATCTTATGAATGGTGTGCCATTATGTGTTGGATGGGACTTTGTGTTGTATTTGGTCTAAAATTCGGGTTATTTGTTATTGCTAGGTTTCGAAAATTACGGGGAGCTAATGATAATGGATGATTTTGTAGTGAGGGTGGCAACTGTGGTGCGGTAGGTGTTACTTCTATATTATTATGTTCTTCGTCGTAAGTGTTCTGTCTTGTCGCTATTTTTGTGTTATATTCTTTTATTTGTGCGTCTAGAAGTATTTTGTTTATTGATGATGAAAAATTTCCAAAAAATCCTGCGAACAGTATGCGTGCTACACTTGCTTGTCTATTTAATTGTGTGTGTATAGCGCATGTGTTATAGATTCCTTTTAAGAGTGAGAAAAAAAATCCTATGAAGTTAAACATTGCGTATAAGATAGTTAATTTTTCTAAGATGTAA